TTAAAGATATCACACCCGCATATTTTTCTAAATCAGCAATCAATAGTTTCTTTGAATTAACGAAATATTCTATTGTATCAGAAAGAAGAGTATTTCGACTTACCCCAACGTACCTCGGTTGAAAATATTGTTTCACATAGGAAACGAAATGTTGGTTGTCTGCCATTGCTAGTGGCAATTCAGTTGCGACAACGAACTTCACCATTCCCGTTCAAGTTTTCTCCTTTGAATACATCCACGTAGAAAGTGGAGTAGTAGTAGCACCGGTGCCTGGACTACCAAATTGTAGTTGCGTTTGACCAGCAGGAAGAAACCCATGTTTGGCCGCACATGTTTTGTAGTGACAGTTGAGGTAGGTGGTTCCAATACCCTTTTGTCATGCCAATCGTTATTGACAGTATTTACATACTGCTTTGATTTCTGGAACTCTATCGACCACACGACCAGTTTTGAACCAATTTAAAATGTTCCCAACATTTTGTTCATTTTCTTTCCATTTCTCTTCCCTCTTGCATCGGGAATATCTAATACAGGTTCATCATCCTATTCCAAATCAATTGAATGACTAGCATCAATATCAACGTCATCCAAATCAATTGGATGACTACTTTCATGAGTATCGAAATCCTGAATATTTTCTGGAATGGATAATTCATTTAGACCAGCGAATTCATTCTCAAATTGAATGTGGGGCGTGATACTTGATTCGCCTCCTACACCAAAAACAAGTTTTCAACAAATAATCGTGGATCCATTTGTGATTGAAAATTTTTAATGAGATAATTGATATTGAATAATTGTAATTGAATGTTGAAGTAGAATTAAGAAGTGAATGTAGAGTATGTAGTAGTGTAGAAAATCGATTAAAAATAAATTGTAGAAAAGTATAGAAGATATTGAAAATTTGAAATGTAGAGAGTAAAGTAGAGAATGAGAGATTGATAGTAAGTTTGGTGGAAAAAAAATGGATGAATGGATGATTATTTAAAGGGGAAAAATGAAGTTAAAAAAAAAAACAAAATAAAATTAATGACCAAAATGGTCATGAATTTTCAGTGACTGTTCTGGTCACTTTTAAAAGAAAAAATTTGCTACCCACGAGCTTGGCTCGTGCTCGAGCTCTTCAAAATGATCAGCCAGAAAAGCTCATTTTTGACGAGCCGAGTCGAACCGAGCCAGGAATTTAACATATAGTTAAATATATAAGGTTATCAACGTGGAATTTAATTAGACTTAGTATTCTTGTTTTCTTTCCCTGTTTACACTTTTATGGGTTCACACTTCATTGTAATTTGGTTGTTTTTTAATAAAACGAAATTCCTGAAGCTTTTTGTCAAATTATTAGTTGCTTTTCGGTACGAAATGCAAGTTAAAGAATCGTGATAGCATGTTAGCGTTCTTGTTTGATGATGTTTTTGTAAGTTAGTATCAGCTTGCAGTGTTAACCCCAAAATTTGTCCGTCGACTAATTTTGAAGGCCCTTTTCCTGAATCTATAGAGAACGTCTTTTTTGTCCAATGATTTTTCACCAGCTTACCATTCATGTTTTTGGGCCACAATCTTCTCTTAGCCTGAGCAAAAAAATCGAAAAATCGACCAAACCAATCAAATTGAACCGACTCAGGCCGGATCAAGTCGATTTGACACAAGTAATTGATTTTTTTTTTTTTTAAAAATCATTATGGATCGATTCAGCCATGGTTTGAAGTCCCAAATCGCTGGTTAACCGAACCAACCCAACCCACTTACCTGTTTACCTTTTCTTTTTTTTTAAAGAAAAAAAAAAAAGATAAGCCCAATCTTATAGCTATATCTCCATTCCCTCCAATCTATTATGCTACTAGTAAGTAATAGCATTGAGAATTTTCTCTCACAAGTTCATTATGTTATAATTAGCATTTTTCCCTATTTAGGCAGCTATGCTACATAATGCATAAAAAAGACAAAATTCTTAAATTTTCTATGGACTTGTCTCTAGTCATTTGATTTTATTCGTTAGTCAATAGTCATTGTAATATAAAGTCATTTAATTATTTTAATTCTTACAAGTGGAAATTACACAAAACTAGAATTTTCAAGATTCAACTTCAAATTTCAGATAAAAGGTTTCAATTTTCACAAATCAGATATTTCATCACAAACCCTAATCAATTTCATCACAATCCAATTTTATTCCTCATCTATTCTCTCGGTCTCTTATCTACCGTCTTCTCTCCTCATTCTTTCTTCTCTCATCACTATGGCTTCTTCTTCTGGCAGTGGGCAGTGTTGGGGTTTGGTGTTTGTGTTGGCGGTGGCGTGGCGTAGCTGTCTCCGTCTCTTCTCCTCACTTTCTCTTTTCTACCATCTTCTCCTTTTTCACTCTCTTTTCTTCTTCATCGGCGAAAGCTGCATCTGGAGGCGAATTGAGTGCCATCGTGCACAGAGCGCCACATCGTCGCTGCTGCGTGGATTGTCGAGAGCCACTGTGGCTTCTTCTTTTGGTAGTGAGCGGTGGTGGTGGGTTTAGTGTTTGTGTTGGCTGTGGCGTGGCGTGGCGTGGCGTGGAGGTAGAGACGTTCATATATGATGGTTGTTGTGACCGATTAATTGGTGGTGGCGGCTGTGATGGAGATGGTGGTGGCGGTGGCGGTGGCGGTGGCGGTAGCTATGGGTTGGTGGTGATTGCGGTGACTGTTGGTGATAGTCGTGGCGGCAACGATTACCGGTTTGGGGATTTTTTTGGTTGGTGGTGTGGTGTGGTGAAGAGTGTAGATGGTGGTTGTGGTGGTGGCGTTGACAGTAATGGATTTGAGGAGACGGTGATGATGGTGGTGGTACATGCGACTAGGGCTGTAAATGGATCGGATATGGATCGGATCTGTCTATATCCGATCCGATCCGATAAGAGATTTTTTTCGATCCGATCCGATCCGATAATCCGATGGATATTTAATTGTTAAATCCATATCCGATTTGCTATGTTATCGGATATCCGATCCGATAATCCGATCCGAAATCAATAAAAATTAGAAAAAAAAAANTAATTAAGAAAAAATATAGATATTTATTTACTTTAAACTAGTAAACTAAAATTAGAAAAATCAATTTTTTTTAAAACTTTCCAATTCTTAAACATGTTTAATAATTATAATTTTTTTATATTTTGAATTTGATTACTTTTTTATTCCAAATTTATTTATTTTCTTATTTATTTATTTTAGTGACAAATAATATGTCATAAAAATATTTTGCCGACTCAACTATTTATAATAAATCGGATCGGATTTTTATCGGATCGGATTGACCTATATCCATATTTGATCCATTTAGTTAACGGATTATCGGATTCGGATCTTGATCGGATTATCGGACTATGACCCTAAATCCATCTCCCATTTATTTCGTCGGATTCGGATCGGATTCGGATCAAATCCAATCCATTGACAGCCCTACATGCGACATTAGTGGTTGTGCTACTGTTAGCGGAGGTGGTGGCGTTGACGATAATGGATTTGAGGAGACAGTGGTTGTGCTGCTGCTGGTGGAGGTGGTGGTCACAAATTATTTTGTTGATTGTGACCAATAAATTTGTTGGTTTGTGACCAATAAACAATATGTGACTGATTGTGACCAATAAATTGATTGGCGTGTGACCAATAAACAATATTTGAACAACAAAAAAGATAAATTGTGACCAAGAAATAATGTGTAACCTAAAAAATTGTTAATATGTAACCAATAATGTGTGACTGTATGATAAGTTGTAAATTATATACTTGTGATTTGTGATTAATAAACAAATTGTGACTTATAAATTTTTTATTTGCGATCGATGAACAAATTGTGACTTATAAAATTTTTAAATTGTGACCGTAAAATAATTTGTGATATATAAAATTTGTGATTTATGACCAATGAATAAATTGTGACGTATAAATTTTTGATTTGTAATCGATGAACAAATTGTGATCTATAAAATTTTTAAATTGTGACCGTAAAATAATTTGTGACATACAAAAATTGTGATTTGTGACCAATTATATGGAATTTGTGACCAAATTATATGGAATTGTGACATTAATATATTTAATTAATAAAATATATGTTTAATTAATTAATTTATAAATAAAATTTAAAAAACTCTGAGATTTGAAATTTTAAAAATAATATTTTAAATTTAAAATTGATAAAGCTAAACCTCTTAATTATGAAATATTCCCCTCTTACAATCTAAGTGGGCCCAAAACCTGGACATTTTTCTTTTTAATTCAATTTGGATTAAAAATCCAAATTGATTAACCGGACTGAATCGGTTCGATTTGGTTTAAGAGTGAGAGTTGATTGGTTTGGATTGAAATTCATCCAAATAGAGTTGATTGGGTTTGATTTTGGTCTTGGTGATCTAAACCAAACCGTGCCCAAGCTTGGTTCTTCCCCAACCTTATGGAAGTTCATGGTTGGCCTTTTCTCGTGCGATTCTATCGTGGTCATCATACCGATCCCCACATTAATCTTAATCTTTCAACCCATCATCATACTAAGTTAGCTAAATCAGGATATTAAGTACTCACAATATAGTGAATAAAATTTTAGCTTTTTTTCGGGGAGTCATATGAATTGCAGAAAAAAAAAACTCGAGCCAATAGATGCCAGTGAGCTAAATATCAAGTTTAGATTACCACAGAAATGACACTACAGATTTAGATAACAATAGGAGTAACATCAGTAAAGAAATGCCATTTAAACTCCCCTTTTACTTTGAATTATCAAAGATAAGAGTTCTGCAGATTGAAACTGAGACACTAAATCAATAAGAATACAGACATCATCACCATAGATACAGAAAAGCCAAAGCCAAATAACAGAGGACTCGTGCTCTGTGTAACCAAACCAAGAAACTTTGCAAATTTTTTACCTAGCAGAGGCTAATGGATGATTAAAATTCAGAAACTGGTTGTGACAAAACTGCAGGAATCCACACAAAAAAAGTGTCCTGATAAAAATATGCAATGCTAATTTCATCCCTCCTTCGAAGACTGACTTGCAGATGTTTTCAACTCCCATGGAGGTAGGCAGCCGTTATAGTGGGAGTGTAAGAACAGTGAAGATATAGACACTTCTCTCTCTCTCCGGAGAATGGAAATCGACGAAAAGCTGCCAAAAGAGCTTCGTCGAATCTTCATCTTGCCGCCAAAGCCTTGACAATTTGCACAATGTCGCACTGGAGATGTTTTAAGGGACTCCGGAAGAATACAATTGCAGAATGAACCTAAAAGAGCAAAAGACAAAACGAAACGGTATTTTAGAAGGAAATCTCATTACATAGCAGAGTTTCATAAAATCCAAATTGATATCTTCAGTTGAAATGCATCATTGGCTTCTTTCTAGGGGTTTCATCATCATCATTATTATTATTTTACGTCTACTAGATGTAGCACAGATTAAATATGAGGAATCACGGGTCAGAAAAGTGCAAATGATAGAGCATCAATTTAAGATGGAAACAAAGGCATAATCAGCAACAATAAATATTGCAGTAAGATGAAGAATGGACACCTATGTTAGCCAGCCGATTCACCCATTTTGGTATCCGGTTTCCTGTCAGCTTGTAGCATATGTCCTTGCAGAAATGGTTGCAGTTCTTCACAATCAAGTGATATGTATTGCCATAGTACTTTGCAGCTTGGCGCTCCATGAATTCTTTAATTTCGTTAGGATTCAAATACGTCATGCCCATCAAAATTGACTTTCTGAATTTGAAACCAGGGCATTGCCGGGGTTCAATTTCAAAGACGCCGCTTGCAGGATAGTCATGGGCCCCAAAAGCATATTCAACGCCATGCACTAATAAAATCAGAAAAAAGAGAAATTTGTGTTTTATGGTTTATAAGTGAAAAAGTAGGTGGATAAAATTTAAACATCTTTGAATTTTTCTATCTCAAGACTCAAAAAACACCAAGCAAGATGCCAATGCAATTATGCAAATATGTCTAAAGCAAATGCGAGTGTACGTATATAGGTAAGATTACATCCACGATACACGTATCGCCCAATTGATAAATATAATTCAATAACCACATGTGCAATGTCCAAAATCAAAAGATTTAGAGTTTTTGTAAATCAAATTTTACTCGACAATAATATGAAAATTTGTTTGTTATTGTCATGACATCATTTACCAGACAATTGTTTTTGCAGAGAACTCGAATATTCAAATTCAAGAAGGCCAAGAAACCCTAAGAAGCCACTGGTCTAATGGAATCTCCCATCTAGGTGGTTATGAAAAAACAAGTGACGAAGTTGTGAAATTTAGAATAGATTGTGTGCGATTTGATGAACTGCTGACCAGAATGACGACAGTCTGAATTGCCCTGAGCCATTCCTCTAAGTATTCATTCTACAAGTTTGAGCTTTTGAGGATAAATTTAAGAATATGCATTCAACTTCAGTGAATGACAAACTCGACCCACATGCAAATTGTCTGTTACACTCGTACAGCTATAATGTTTTTGCAGTTTTAACAGGACCGCAATAGCTCTATCCATACAGCAGACATTAAACATGACAGTGCAACTCAAAAAGTAAGATTGATAATAATGTAACTTGCAGTGGTTGGACCGTATAGAAATTCCCTTGACCGCAAATTGACCTAACATTGGGCAAGTGGGAGAATGTTTCAAGGGTATATGTCGGGTATTCCATACATGTACTTTGCCGACCTAATAATCATAGTATAGAAGATTTTTTTATACTATGAAAGGATAATTCATAGTATTAAGAATATTTTCAAGGGGTATGTTGAATATTTCACACATATAATGCATCGCATAGTATAAAAGAAGGCTTCAGGGAGCCATTTGGTGCCTGAGAGTTGTGAGAAAATGCATGTGCTCTGTCTCCATTATAGCGAAAAACTAGAGGCTGAAACCCAATAAATCTACGTGGTGGCTTTGCCTGTTTTCGATTTTATTCTGTTTTTATGCTCCTGCAAAGAGGGAGATGGACTTAATCCCCAACAGAGGTTAGGATCTAGTTGATAAAAAATCTTGTTCTTATGGAACAAAAATTGGAGATCAAAAGACTGACTAAACCATGATTCATAGTTGAGAGCATAACCTACCTTCCACTCCGGAATGAAAGACACCAACGCCAGCCCAGTAGAAATAACCATTTACCGTAGTCAAGTCATACACATTGAGATAAACTGGAAAGTTTCTGGGGCTATCGCTTGCCGAATTCACTTTAGGAAACACGCAGAAATCGTTTGCCGATTCTCCTTGCACATGAAGAGGTACAATTGTTTTCATGTTCAAAGGTGAAACTAGGAACTGTTCAATACCCAATCCCAACCTGCAATTGAAATTCAACATAATTAGCAGCACGTAACCAATGAAATTCTAAGTGAGTGCACAAATGATATTATTAGGGAAAATATTCTTAATTATCAAGAAACCGTGCAGTAACTTCTCTTCACTCAATTATGTTTACATTTGCCAAAGTACAGATTTCATTTCCGTTTAATATACAAAATGTAAAACAATTAATAGCATAATCAAGATAACAACTTGAATATATAATGCTTGAAGAATAAACAGAAGAAAGATATATATAAATATTCAAAAAGAAAGAAAGAAAAAAGGAAAGATAATCATCCCATCTGTAATCAACTCCAGTTCAAGGATTCCTATAAAAGCTTTTCACCATGTATGGATCTAAACCCAAATAAGAAAATTGGATTCAATAATGCAACCAATGGAAAAAGCAAACAAAAATAAAAGTAAAGATTCAGATGCTTCATAATCAAGAAAACTAGAAACCCATATAATTTCTTTTACCTTAATCTCAAATGGTACACTATCAGAACATCAAAGGAATGGCTTCAACTCCACTGGAAAATGACCAAAACTGGCTACCAATTGCACAGCGAAAAGAACCCCTGAAAGTGGAGTGGATGTGCCTGAAAAACACCCATTTGTAGGCGGGGTCTAAATCCAATGAAAATCAAATAATAATAACGAAAGCTGCAATTTGACTGAGATTGTGAAAGTGTACAAAATCAGAGTCCACAGAAAAAGGAAAGAGAAAAAGTTGACCACTTCGATTTCATGGCCGTAAGGTATAATTAATTCAGGGATTAAGACAAATTAAGGGATTATAATGCTGAGAATCATAAAAATAAAGAAAACTTTTGAAATATTAGAAACGGTTCAAGAAAGTAAGAAACTTCATTTTTTACTTCATTGTTTACATGATTGTTATGTTTAAATGCGTTACTTATTTCGTTAAACATAACATTTAAAGTTCTTGTTTTATTAGTAAAATTAATTTTCTAAAAAAAAACTTTTAATTATAATATTACGCGTTCCAAAAGTATTAATTTGCCTAGATGAATATTCTTCGAAGCATGAAAGTATAATGTTAAAGAACTCTGATATTGAATAAAGATATAACTACAAAAAGAAAAATGAAAACGCAACCACTACGAAACTAATGAAAATGGGACAAATTTGTTGTCGTGTGTCGTTTTAAAATAATTTAAATTTAAATGCCAAAATCAAAGGAGTTAATTTTCTATAGATTCAAATATTGCAATGGATTTTTGAGTCGAACTTTCGAATTGTATTTCATATTTCACTTGTTCCTTGTATTGAAGGAGTTGTTCGATAAAACTTTTGATAAAAAATTAATAGATTTTGATAAAAATTATGAATATTAAAAAACCTATAATTAAAATTAATCATTAACTTTCATAACTTTTTATAATGCACCTTTTTTTTCAATGAAAAGCTTGTTAGTATAAATTAGAAGTCAATCAAAGGGGGTGGGGTGGGGTTGGGTGGGGGGGGGATGATGACGAAATATTGAAATATCAATACCTTGCTGTGGCAACAAGGCATGAATTCAAAAATGTGCTCATTGCCACTCTTACTTTGTCTTTTTATGAACAAATTGAATATTTGGTTAGTAAACTCTGCGTCAGAATCTTGGAATAGTGAATCCTGTCAGCATACAAAGTACAAAGAATGGTCAGAAAGAATATATGACTTTGCTACAGTTACAAGAATTTGAATTTTTGTACCTACAGATTACAATAACATTTGGGGGAAATTTTTATTTTTTTTCAATACTTTATACATAGAATCCACTACATGTGAGTTGGAATTCAAAAATCTGATCCAATTCTGATAAAAATTCCTGTACTTGAATCATTTTTCAAGAATATATATAAAAGAAAAACTATGCTACTTGTACAATGAATTTGACAATAAATTTGACAATGTGTGAGTTGATAGGCATTATGTCCATTGATTTGAAAGATTTTTTGAATTCAATGGCATATACACATCACAAATTGTCAAAATTATTATGCAAATTCAGTACAAGTAGTTTAATTCATAAAAGAAATCCACAATTCTAAATTTAGCGAGAATGAGTCGATCATGCTTGACAAATTACTCATGAAATGTATAAATAATTAGTTCATAGTAGTTATAAATGTGTGATAAAAATTCATACTTGAGATTTACTTCAAAATTATATGAAAATTCTATGAAGCTCAAACAAAACTCCTATAAATTAATTGAAATAGCATATAGACTTATTTACTTAGCCCTTGTTTATTCCCTTGTTTATTTTTATTTTTTCAAAATACATTTTTCTATCTTTTCTTTTAAACCACACATTTTTCAATAAAATAATATTAAATGTAAATAAAAAACTTTTCTTTCATTTTTAATCACACATTCTTCATCAATTTATTATTAAAAATGCATTATACGCTAAAATGGGGCTCAAATAGGCCATTAATTCCAAATTTTAGCTAGAATAATTTGTCAACAACCATACACATTGTACTTGAATGGAAAACTAATTAAGTACATGTTTGGCAGAAATTAAAATTTAGATTTTAATTTAAGTTAAATAAAACAATTAATTTTAATTATATATTTTATGGATTTCACAACTTTTCAACCACATATTTCATTAATTTCTATTAAAATCTTTTAAAATTTTGATTTTAATTCCCACCAAACAGAGCAAATAAACATTAATCTGACACAAATTTATTTCTAATTAAACCAACCTTATTTTACTCCAATATAAAAAAAGATTTTATAAATAAAAATGTTTTGTGTAGATTGAAATTTTGATATTATTGAAAAATTGTGATGATTAAATTAATTATTAAATTTAATTGAAATTAATATTTAGATTTTAATATTTACCAAACAAGGACATTAGAAGATGTATGTGAAATCTCTTTTGAGAAAGAGGTGATGATAGACTAGCAATCTCTAAAGGATTTTACTATTTGTACACTGGGATCGACATCTCGATATACAGACGCCCTGGAGATTCACGATTTTTTTTATTAAGCATGAATCCCGTCTATTGTGAGGGAACTGTACACCTCAGCGTACAGGTAGCAAAACACATCTCCAAAAGGTAAGGTCTGCTGACAATTTGACCGTCAACAAAATTTTCTATAAACTCTTTTAAAATCAAAGCACCTGTCTTTTCAATCTATTCATTCTTTTTTTTTATTATTTATTATTAACTTTGAGATGGAACACTACTTTCATTTTACTGCTCTTTTACCACCAACTGGAATGGATTGGAGAGCGCATGCGTGTCTAGTAATGATTTATTCACCAGCTTTTTATAGGCAACCTTGGCCAAAGACAATAAAAAAAGTAAATCTTTATATTATCCAATACTCTTCTATATCAAGAATGATAAGATTCTTCTCGACTTTCGCTTGATGACCATCTTCAAGAAGATCCCCCTAGTCCTCGTATGCATTCCAAGTGTGCGAAGGCTTCGACATAAAACTTTGATACAATTCCCCTATAACATTTTGAACAATCAACTTATACCCTAGTCAGTGCATGTTTTGTTTGTGATTAAATTATAATTTAAATGATTATAAACTGTGGTCCTATGAATGTGCGGATAAGAAATATGTTTGATCAGAAGTGATTGTTAAATAATCACCAACCAAACAGGGACTAATTCTCGAGTTATGAAACATTATAGGAATGCATGAACACACATGAAAAAAATCTAGTATGGAAAAACACATCTATCTATTCACAGCTGAAAAATTATTTCAAGTAGCAACAAAAAGCAAACGATTTGTAGACTTAGATATAACAGATTGCATTGCCAATCATCTTACTACTACGAAATATGCTATTTCTATTCTGATCAATGCATCATTCGCATGTCGTGGTCTTATAAATACGGGAGAATGGGTGGACCAGTGAGTCATTCTTCATCTTCTGATTCCTCAGATTCTGAAGTCTCTCCGTGCCGGGGTGGACCTTCGATAGCAGCACTACTTGCTTGTCTTCGTCCAGGGTGAACGATTTCTTGAACAATGTAATTAGCTGATTCAAAAGGAAAGAAAATAAAATTCGATACATTGAACTAAATTATCAGATTTTAATGACAATGTGAGTAGCAGATTGCAGATTAGATATACAAAGGTTGTGTTCATAATGTCAGGCTTATTCCAATAGTTAAACTTTTAATATAATGCACTATCACATCATTATAGAAGTAAAGCCAAGTAGAAGTCACTACCTGATGCTAAAATCTTCGTAAGAAGTTTCCCTGCAAACTGGATTTCCCCTTGATGGTTACTCACAAATTTAACCTGCAAATCAAGACACAAATGAAGCTACCGATTGTTGAGTGTGAACGTTTTTGTATAAAAACATGACTGATATAGTAGGGGTGTGGAATTTTTGTTCTTTATTAGAGGACTGAGAATATTTATGCATTGGGAAGCAAAATTTTTATTCAAGATATCATCAAATTTTCATCCAGCCTATTCTCCCGTATTTTAATTAAGGCAGTGACCATTAGTGGACCAATACAAGCCCCCCTTAACAAAATCTCCACCCCATCCCAACAACCCAAATGAGTGGGGGTGGGGGGAAGAAAAGGTGGAGAGAGAGAGAGAGAGAGATGTCTGAGGAACTATATTATCTAACCATTTGACAATTCGAATAATGAAGCTCCATCTCTTCAACCTAAGCTAGGCTTCAAAAGACATTAACTGCCTAGTAAAGTACAGAATAAGATATTCACCATTTCATCATTCAAGAAACCCACAATTTGATCGAGCCTTGATTGATGCCTTCGGAGGAAAGGGCGCAAGTGGTTCATATACAATTGCCTTGCTCCCTGGAGAAACAGGAAGTGGAATCGAGTGAGGTTTTGACAAGACTAGCATGCAGTGCAAGTACAAATCATGTCTTAAAAATATTTCTAGAATGTTTAAAGCCAAATATGAATAATACCTAAATAGAACAATGATTTTGGTTTATCACGTGCTCAATTATTCTTTATGTTTGCACTATCATAAAGGGAAGGCAATTTAAGCAAGCAACAGAAATATCCCAGACATTCACACCCATATTCAGGCAACAATCTGGGTTTCATCATGAATCAAAAATCAAAGCCAATTTTTAATTACCCCTTTGCACGTATGCAACAAACATACAGAAATAAAACCAAAAGAAAACGAAACTGAAACTGAAACATGAAGATATTCAACAAGGTATAGAGTGCCTACGAGGTTTTGTTTTTTTTTTTCCCTTTTCCCCTGCACGCCATAAATAGATGGAAAGTGTATATTCTAAACCACACTAGAGCTATACTCTTCTATTACTTTCAAGTTTTCAGTAGGTTGGAAAAAAGGCCCCTTGAATCAGATATTAACTACAGAAGATTTACCACACAAGGGTGGACATGTAAGAAGAATGACTAGAAGACTTGAACCAGATTCAGCATCAGGCAGTGTTTTGACCTCCACATATCTACACATAATTCAAGGTTCTAAAAGAGAACCAACTGTCCCAGACCTAGCAGCTAAACCTTTATACTACTGAAAATAAAGTACACTTTCACCACATATACAGATTTGCGGTCTAGAAAGTCCTAATCATCGAACATAAAATGCACGTGATTTCATCTCCCAACATCAATATCCATTGCAATACATTATAAATAGTAAGAACCGGTGAGGATATATTTAAATAATTCAAATAAGAAACCAGTAAAGGGAAAAGATAAATAATACAGCTAGAAACTAGAAAAGAGCAGTTGCCAAGCTTACATCAATAGTTGGCAGTTGAAGCCAAACAAGAAAAGCAAACTTCATGTGATAGTAGAGAGGGAACCTGATAAAATCATACAAAAGCACCACCTCAATATGCTTTCACAGAAACCTAAGATAATTGCTGAACGACTATATTAGAGAATATGTGCGCGTGTGCTCTCTCAATTAATTTTTTTATCTTGGGGGTTAGTGGTTGTTAAGAAATCAGGTTCAGGTTCAAAGCTGTACCAGTAGAGAAGTTTGTCAGTGAACACCTCGATGACACTAAAAGATCCATATGCTGCAAGAAGTATGAAAAAATTCTTTGTTTCAATTCATGACCAAAGCAAGTCATTAAATGATTGTATAATCTCACCAAACCATAAATGAATGTACCTCAGAGGAAAATGCCAATACACTTATTTATTCAATAAATTGGCTAAAATCTCATATAAATCAATTACAAAAGTACCGTGATTTTCCTAAGCCATTTTATAACTTTACTCTCAAGACTATAATAAGCATATACTGGAATCAAGAGTTCAGTATCTTGAAGTTTAGCCTTAAATTACAGCATGAAAAACAACAAAGGCCATGGGATCTGCCAAACCACAATGCATATTTCACCAAATATGTCCTCCCTGATGGTTTCATTAAAAGAACTAAACAATAGATGTGCACTTACATAGTAGAAACATTCAAATCACCACTGGAACAATAAGAAAAATTTACACAGAATAACTAACCGGCCCAATACAAAAGCCACTTGTGTTGCTCATCTTGATCCCTTGCTTCGATGGCCTTAAATG